GCATCTTGGTTCTTATTTTTTCCCCATTCCTAGCCCTCCCTTCACGCCCTCCACCCTTCCCTATTTACAAAGACTTTATTTCCATTTTTTCCATTAGGGCCAGGGGAAAGGAAAGAAGGGAAATGATGAGAAATTATTTTTAATCTTTACTAATTTAGTACATGAGTAAATGGTATAGGTCATTTTCATTAATACATATTAATTGTACAAGTTAATGGGCTTTACCAGGACATTTCCATCTATGTATATACATCATGCCTTAATCCTGTCCACAATCCTGCCTACTCTTACCATTCCCCAGTCCCATTCCCCAGTAGTCCCTCTCTTTGTCCACTTGTTTCTGAAATAACACTCTTACCCTAGATATTTAGCATTTTTCTTAAAATTTTGTAAGAATACTTTTATATAGTGAGGAATTAATTCTTGGGTCTTTTAAGTTTGTAACATTAGAGTGTTCATTTATAAAAAAGATTTTAAGTTGAAAAGTTATGCCTCCAATAATGAATCATGCTTTTGTGGTAGTTTATATACGTGTATCCTAGTCATTAAAAAGAAAATGGCAAGCAGAGATATTTTAATAAAACACCATTGTGAGCATTTGATAACCTTGATTTCTTGGCCTTTTCCCAAAACTAAGTGAAGGGAAATAAAGTACTCCTTAAACATTGACATAATTATAATTTTTCAGTGGTTCAAAATGTGAGCTGCTAGTTGAGTCTGGTTCAGAAGCTACAAAGCATTTATCTATCTAGGATGGGTTTTTTGTTGCTAACTATTCATTTTTAAATAAATATCTGAAGGGGTAAGGAGTTCTTCAAGAAGAATGGAATCTAGATGCTATGCTTTGAAAAGCTCTAATGCCTGCTTAGTAATATTCTTGACCTCATCGTTTTGTTTTTGTTTGTTTGCTTGACACAAAAGGCTAATCCAGCACATATAGGGCCAAGTGTAGGCTCCCAGCAGGAACAGAGAGCTCGATGTCTTCCAGCCATCAATCAGCAGACCTCAAAGAACTTGGGAGAGAAACTCAGAGAGGTGCCTCCTGCCGTTCCTCTTATGTCACATGCTGTTTTGGCATCCCCAGCCATCAACCAGAGTGTAGCTCCTCCTGTTCCTTTGATGGCCCAGCCAGTGACAAACTCCCGGTAAGCTGAAGGTAGTCCTGGAGGTGACAGTGAAGTGAATGACATCTGTTGGCCCTTTGTGTGATCTACCAAGAGTGATATGTAAAAGATGAACAATTCCAGATTTCTTAAATAAATTTTAAATGGGAATGAGTATGTTGTTGAAAAACCATTATCAAAACACTGGCTCCAAATCTTTCAGACTTATTTATACCAGGCTTCTTTTCAAATATTTGTTTTACTTCATACTTCTCTCTTGAGTTACAAGTTTTTGATTCCCAGGTTGTCTGGGTCTGGAAATTAACAGCTGTAGGCTGTACATGCTTTTTCTTACTCATTCTCTCTGAGCACCTGCAGGCATTGTTACCAGCCAGTTACTTGACATGTGTCTTTGTATTCCTTCTATCCTCCCATGGGAGCAGTTTGGGATCAGTCTGCCTCCACACTGCTGTGAAGATTTCCCTCCAATTTTGAGGAAATTTTCAGATTTCAGAAATTAAAATTAATGTCACATCACTTTTTTACATTTTTATCTTCATTCACTTCAGCTCTCTTTTAAAAAATAAAATATTTCATTTACTTACTCCATGGACTAAGCATTTGCATCTATATTTTAACAAAAGGCATATAATTGTTACTAATTTCTTTTCCTATTTCTTGAAGTTAAAAATTTTTTAATATGCAAAGCATATTTATTCTTCAGTGTATCTCAAGAGCTTTTTTCTTCTAGATGTATGCTAAATTCTCATGAACTCAAGCTGCAGAGTGGAGCTGAAACAAAGGAAGGTAATGTTTCATCATGATAACTTCAGCCCAACCTATGTGGCAAACTCTTTTGGGTTGCTCAGAGCCTGTACTGTGGCTGTGAAGTAAGAAGTTTTACTAAACTTAAGTGTTGTCTTCCTCTTCTCAGGGGGCAGATTATGTAAAGCCCAGACCATTTCTTTTTTTTTTTTTTTAATTAATTTTTTGGTACATTTTAAGTATTCAATATGATGACATTCATCATTGGAAATTTGCACCTTTACATAATCCATCTTGGTTCTTATTTTTTCCCCATTCCCCTGCCCTCCCTTCAGCCCCTCCATCCTTCCCTATTTACAAAGACTTTGTTTCCATTTTTTCATTTTCTCATATTAATTCCATTCTCTTCTTTCCTTTCCCCTACCCCTCC